ATATATATATGTGTGTGTATTTCTATGTTAGTGATGGTTGTGAAAGTGCCACAAGAACATGACATTTACTATAATTTTTAGTATGAGTTTTACGGTAGACATAGCCTACTTGCAGCACAAATAGGCTGACATAGGTGTTACCAGAGAGTAACATACAAAAAAAGAGAAGGAGGAGAGATAACAACAATAAATGTTTGATAGTAAAGAAGGAGAAAACCACAAACAAAGCACCTGCCAACCACCCACACATCACCTTTTTTCAGCAGAACGAACACTGGGGGGCTTTCGTGGCCTAGAGGTAAAGTGTTCGCCTATTATTCAAACGTCCCGGTTTTGAATCCTAGTAGCGACCGAAAAATTTTCTTCTTTAAAATTGTCTCCTTTCACCTCCTTTCCTGTTCTCTAGCAATGTTCTGTCCACTGCCTTCGTTTCTACTTTCTGCCCCCACCCCCTCACATCCTTTGCCCTCTACTCTGGGCTCCTGGCTCTTTCTGCAGCATTTTTACTGCCACTCCTTGGTCCCTTCTTACTGCTGTCTGTCCGCTAGACCTCTGATCTTCTGGTAGGAAAGATCTACACCTAGTCTTCTGGGAGTGGTCGAAAAATCTCGGAGGTCTCTAGTGCAAGTTGCGCACGTTAAAGCTCCCTTTGTGGTCTAAAATCGAGAGTAGGCGTCCACCCGGGCAAAATTAAAAATTTCTTACCAACTGAAAAATGTTTAGTGTGTTCCGCGCGCTCATATGACCGTATGCAGTTGCGAGCGCCGTAAAACACTTACCAAAAAAAGAGAAGAAGATCGGACATTATAGTAATATGTGAGACATAATGGGTATCAATTGTCACCGAGTGTTTGTTTGTTTGAGTTAAGAGAAACACATAGACACAATAATGGTTATTTAGTGCTGGGAAAAAGAAAGGTAGACGGACAGACAGAAACAGCAGCGGGAAAGTTAAGCAGTAGGAACTACCAGTGGCGCCCTCCAACCACCCAATCCGAATATTTGTTCAGACCAGTTCCAAGAAGATACTTTAAATACCATTAAATTCACATTTACGGTG